TTGTTGCTGAGGACTATCTTGAATTTGTTGAGTTTGTTAGTATCCTGAAGAAAGGCCGTATTGAACTTTTGTGATATTGTCCGCCCCGTTGTCCAGTGCTTCTTGAGTTTCAATTTCATCTTGGCGACCAGCAAGTGATGATCTGATGCTATATCAGCTCCTCTCTTGGTTCTCACGTCCTCTATAGTCCTCCTGAACGTTTTGTTGATGCAAATATGGTCGATTTGGTTTTGTGTAGTGTGATCCGGTGAAGTCCATGTGGTTTTGTGTATGCGTTTATGTGGGAATATGGTGCCGCCTATGACCAGCTTATTGAAGGCACATAGATTTGCAAATCTCTCACCATTTTCGTTTCTTTCTCCCAGTCCGTGTCGTCCCATGATGTCTTCATATCCAGTGTTGTCCGTTCCAACCTTGGCGTTGAAATCTCCCATCAGAATGGTCAGGTCCTTTGTTGGGCACTTCTCGACGATTGACTGCAGCCTATTGTAGAATTGATCTTTAGCGTCTTCATTGTAGTCGTTGGTAGGCGCATAGCATTGGATGATGTTCATTGAAATGCCCTCTTTCTTTGTTTTGAACGAGGCTTTGATGATCCTTGGTCCATGAGATTCCCATCCTATAAGTGCATTTTGCGCTTGTTTGGACAGCATCAATGCAACTCCTTGTGTATGTGGTGCATTTTCTTCTTCATGGCCGGAGTATAACAGGAGCTCTCCTGTAGTTAGTCGTTGTTGTCCAACTTGTGTCCAATGTGTTTCACTGATCCCAAGTACCTCTAGGTTGTATCTTCTCATTTCTGCAGCAATTTGGAAGGCTCTCCGGTGTCCCACATTGTACGAACATTCCATGTACCTAAATAAATGGTTGCTCTGGTTGTCAGAAGGGGCATCGGCCTCGTAACTTCCGAAGGAATTCGGCTTTCATCATGAGGCGTCATGGTTCTTCTAAATGAAGACCTTCTGACTTCCAGGGTGCTATAAATGTGACGGCAGATTAGAGGGTAGGGAATTATTGATCGGGTCAAAGACGCGCAAACACGTAGAAAGGCTCAGGGTTCTGATTGGTCCCGCCTCCCTGTCTAGCCCAGTCAGTTAAATCCAGAACACAAGTCTCAGCCTCGGAGATATGAATCACTATATTTCAAACACACTCTGTTTATATACTAATCAAGCAGACCACATCGTACCATAAAATAGAAAATAATATTGTTCAATATTGACCAGTAGGAAAATGACACGTTAAATGAATATTGACCAATGGGATGATACCACTTCGTGTCCAAGGATAGCATTAAGCTTAACAGAATAATTTTTGGGATATTTTTCTGAATATCCCTACACAGGGCAAAGTTTTAAAGGTGTGAATAATTTTATCTGGTTAGCGTTTTTTTAGCGAGTTAGTTTTCCACGGGATGGGGACGCTAAACACATGCTCAACCCTCCTTTATTCGGGCTTGGGACCGGCAGTTGCCCCCGGAGGGACTGCAGCCGGAGTTGAACGAAGTGCTAGGAACTCTAAATAGTGTGGGTCTACGGATATTAGTTCAGAACACAAAATCGATCTAACAAAGATTATGTTGAAGCTTAATCTACTCTACATTTAAGACTAGGCCAACAAGCACAGCATCAACAATAACTGTTTAAAAGTGACTATCTTTAAAATAAATAATTGCGTCAAAGTTTAAAACCACATAGTGGTTGTTCAACCTGTCAGCAGATTAAAGCTTAAAGAAGAGAATCCAAGATCTTACCAAGAGTGGTCTCTAAAAAAGGTCAGTGATCTTTCGGAAGCTGATAGAGAATTCTGATAACGATCCAAAAGCTATTTAAAGCAAAGGTGGGTAGTAGCTAGCAGTGGAATCCAGAACACGCGTTTCATGCTACTTGGGACTCATCAGATGGATGTACCTGCAGGTAGATAGGACGAAACGCGCGTCCTGGATTTCATTGCTGCACACTATTCATCTCTAGTTAAAACGCCTGTGACCTAAGGCTATAACGAAGGGATCCGCACATTTTGCACATTATGCACCGACAACAGTCCTGAATAACAATGGGAAGATACAAGCAAAACTATACTAAGTGAATTTGATCCAAAACCTAGTTTATAACATAATGTAAGTCACATTAACTCACCAATATGCGAAGTAATTTCGGAAACGGTATCATGAATAAGCGTACAATAATTAAAAAAAATTAAATAAAAGTGGACTCAGAAAATCTTTAGGCAGGGGCCGTTTTCAAATCTACTTAAAGTCCCCTAAGAAATAATCATCTACCAAAAATTAACGCGAACTGCGCAGAGTGCTGTAGTCCTGAACGAGTAGTAGGTGAGTTTTCCTTAACCAAACAGCAGTCATAGTCAAGTAGGCTCAGCAACCCGATAGTGGTTAGCTTCAATGCGCCGTCTGAAAACTGGACTAACTTGGAAACATCTTTCGTTTTCATATTTTTGTAAACCACAGCAGCCCCACTACCTACGACCTAGAATATTAAAGACCCCGTCAAATAAAACTGGATGTGTGTTCTGGCCTTATTTTTGATTCATGGTCATGATATTAGCTATAAAAGTTACTTTTCACTTTTACATTGTGTTACGAGAGGACTGAAGACATTTGTCTGAATAAAACCTTTATATTAAATATTCTTAATTTCAATGTTCTCTTGGATGTATTTGTTCAACTGAACTTCTGAACTTGTTTGTTTATATCACTATTTTCGGACATTTTGGTTTGTATTTGATTTGGTATTTGGGAGTTTTCGCTCCAGGAACCTAGAAAATTGAAGAACGACATTTAAGTCCACTATTTGTAAATTGCGAATAAACCTTGGTATCGAAATTGGAGTTTGGGCCTATTGTTGATTTAGGTCCGTAAGTTGCAAATAGATCGATATGCCGTACAGAGACGAGAAAAAACTTAAAAATAACAGGGTTAACTGGCCATGCAGTCACTTTATTTAATTCACTGTTAATATGATATTTCAGTCAAACACTCTGGTTCATTATAGGGCGTGGAAGGTGGAAGTGTGATTAAAAAACGTTCACCCATTGTAGAATTATAGTCTCCTTCGTTGTTAGTACTGCTCTAATAATAGACCTGATCTTAAAATTGCAGATCTTTCATGATGTAACTGTCTTACGTGGAAGTCACATCATTGTCTACAGTGAATCATCGTATCGTAACAATTACCAATTTATGATGGAGAACAAATTCAGGCTGGAGATAGAACAATATATTTAATATGAGTAAAAGTAAGTTATACAGAGCGACCATGCCTGAGAGGCTGAGCCATGCTACCCGAATAATTAATTCGCTCGATTCATTCTTCCCGCTTTCTCCACCGTTGGGTTTTTCTCCGCGTTAAATATTGAACATATATTTTCCCATTTGTCTCGCGTTAAGCTTTAAGGACTGTGTGGTTATGGCCGAATGCCACTATAACCTTACCCATAGATTATGAAAGCAACCTCAGATTAATCTGTGGAAGAGGCATGTAGTAACCCCCGGCAGTCGGGAAAGTTAGTAACCTAGTCATTTATACCATGAACAGTATTGAGGAGGAAAAGACACGACTGTTCCTGGATAAAGCAAGAAATCCTACGTTTACCATGGCAAATGAGAAACTTGGGGAAATTCGCCATCATCCTAGGAACAGAGAGTGAGATGGAATGTCACAAGTTCATCCAGAGTAAGTGTATACACACAACTTATGTATCTCGGTGGAACTATGAAAACCAACTGTCATAACCTCTAAGCAGGCAGATGAAGCCACTGTTCTCATACATTAACTACAGGACAAGAAAGTGTTCATGGATTCCTTGTTTGAATGAGTCGTTTAAGAGAGAACTAGACGCATGCAGGAACATACTAGAAGAGGACTAACATGGAATGGATTTGTTGTATTATTCATTCGACAGGGTGTAAAATTCTTGTTTCGCTACCAAATATGAACCATAGTGATGATTCGCTTGCTAGACAAATCACACAAACTAATGTCATGGATATACAAAGCTCGGTAACGCTATCGTCCGAGGCGCCTATTTATACGAGGATCCCAAAGCCAGTTAAACAAAAAATTAATAACGAGGGGATGCGACGTGCACAGAAATGCTCGATGTGTTGAACTATATAAAGTGTAAGCCGACTACTTTCAAAAGATGGTCAGCTCGGCTTCTCCAAATGTGATTTAGTGAGGATGTTTGACTAAGCGACTACAGAAAAACTAACGAGGACACGACCAATTCTGAAGACTTACGAAACTACTTGTTCCAAGTATTTATTTACTTCTAAGCGAGGATAACTCGGATACATCAGAACAGGGAATACTGGTTTCAGAGTAACTTCTGACCGATTATTTCAGAGAAAAAGTAGAAATTTAAAGATATGGTTGTAAGGAAGAGTGTAACTGATTCACACTCAAATAGTTGGTTCCTAGTGACATAATATTGTCCGCGTCAACGTCGAATATTTGAAAAAATACATTCGTTGAGTATTTTGCCGCCGTGATCGCTTCATTTTCCAGGCGTTTTGAAGCTAAGCAAAAATGAACACTATCGTATCTTTAATCCCTAATATACCTAGGTTCCTACCTGGAGGTATTGGCAATCCACGGAAGCCCGTTAAGCTATGGCTTCTTTTACTCCGTCCACGACCATTTGAGCTTTTTTCAAACCTCAGATATAGATCGCTATTAATATTTCAAACCCTACTACGATTCTAATACTTGAATGCATGAGTCGATGTAAGGTAGACCACCATTGAAAACCTGGAATCAGTGGACGGTCTTTTTATACTAATATGATGGTACAGTTTACATAGACCCATAAATGCAGCTAATAAAATTAATGCAATCTCCACGAAGCCAATTCTGATCATAATTAAGTTTCTAACAACAATTGGGAGTTGAATGCTAACCTTAAGTAAAAGCGCCAGAGCTAATGGATAGCGGTTCATGCTACTAGAATGCTTCCGATGTGAACAATGAGGGTCTCTGTCGATGGACAAAGAAAGTAGAGGTAACTTTGACACCTGGAGTTCCAGAATGGTTTCTGGGGTTGAGTTTCGGTGCAAAGTAAAAGTTCCCACCACCACTAACCTGCCAACTTTAAATGAAATTTCGTCATCGGCTTTTGAGGTATTGCTTTTGTTTCCGTTCTCTTGAAATGACTGTTGTTTCACTTGCTTACTTTGTACACAATCTGGAAAAGCTTTTTAAAACTTCACTCCTCAATGACCTCTGTTTTGATACGTAATGGTGAAAACGTTAGCTATACAGCTATAGGTTTATTTACGACTGTCCATTCAGCTGTTATTATTTAAGTATACAGTCTTTATGTATATTGTTACTTGGAAAACGTTAAGGAGTCTCACCAATTGGTTTTAGCTTTCAGTTTTATTCATTCGGCTTGAAAATTTTAAAAGCATAGACGCACTAAGACTTGTGTATCCTTAGCCCAAAAGACTCAGTCGAGAAACGTGTCTTTCAGTTTACCGATAGCTTTCACATTCTAAATCTCTGTTTCAACTTCAGTAGCATCCTTGTCTAATAAGTCAGCTCTGTAGTATACTGGTTTATCTCGTCACTTCACCACAAATTGAGACAAATATCTCTTTTGAATGCAACGGTCAGGTTTGTGAACATGGATTGCGATGGCTTCCGCAATGTGCATAAGGCGCACTCGTAAACCATGTGACAAGTTTGATGGGATATTGTAGATAATCTTAAAAGCTTTATTGGAATTGGAATTTTTCCAAGAAGCGAGTCCCCACAGAAGTATTCGACTATACATAGATATTTGTCTCAATTTGTGGTGAAGTGACGAGATAAACCATTATACTACAGAGCAGACTTATAAGACAAGGATGCTACTGAAGTTGAAACAGATTTAGAATGTGAAAGTTATCGGTAAACTGAAAGACACGTTTTTCGACTGAGTCTTTTGGGCTAAGGATACACAAGTCTGGCGAGACTCTAATTTAACGACGACCTTTGAACGAGTCTTGAATGACCTTGACAATTATTAGCCAATCAGAAGACAGTACAAAGTGAGAATATATTGTATGTAAGTAATGAATTGCAGTGGATTTTCTTCTTTACATGATTTAAAAACTTGTTAAGGTTTGATAAAGGTTCAGAGGCTCTGAATCATAATGCATATGGTATAAAAACTCGTCCATAGGGTTAGTGGTTAGGGTTGTAGCCTAGGGTTAGGGTTAAGGTTAGGGGTTAGGGTGCTAACATGCGATCAGTTTACAACGGATTTAGGAGGTTAGGGTTAAGGGTTATGGTTAGTGTCAGGGTGTGGTTGTAGCCTGTCAATAAACACCTCTTCTCCAAAATCCAGTGTAAACCGATCGCATGTTAGCACCCTAACCTTAACCTAACCCTAAACCCTAAACCCTAACCCTATGGACGAGTTTCTATACAATATGCATTATGAATTCAGAACTTCTGAGCCTTTATCAAACCTCAACAAGTTCTGAAATCATGTAAACGAAGAATATCCACTGTAATTCATTACTTTCTTGTAATATATTTTTACTTTATACTGTCTTCTGATTGGCTAATAATTGAAATTGCTCAAATGCTTCTCATTGGCTCGTCCCTAAATTAGAGTTTCGCCGTCCCATCTGTTTTAACCTCTCATTAATCACCTCCTCTCCAAAATCCGCTGTGAACCGACCGTATGTTAGCATCGCGTGTTGAACTTGGCTCCGTGACCTTGAAATTGCTCAAACGCTTCTGATTGGCTCGTCGCCAAATTAAAGTCTCGCCGAGATTCGTACAACCACTTTCTCTGCCCTGGCCATCAGTATAAGATTTCCTTCATAAGAAATTTTTTTCATACTTCTTCCGCTTGTTTTTTTAATTTTTGTAATTTTGTTTCTGTTGCTTTTGAACTTTATAACTTCTCAACATTCATCTCTTGATTCTTACGTAACTACTATTCTATTAACCATCTATCAAAAATTCTGTTCCTTCTCTTTCTCGTATATTACGCAACGTAGCAACTTCTTGATTTAATAATTACTTTGAATATTAATAATCCTCTTTCTTCCAATTACTCAATTTAAATGCCATTATGTAATTATTATATAACGTATCCACTCGATGAGTACTATATCATTATTGTAAATTATATATATATTAGTGTAGAGCCATGGTGAAAAACTATTTGAAAAGAAATTTCTTCGCTCAATTCGTTCCTTATTTACCAAATTCCAGTTTGACTAAAAAAGGGAAAAGATCTATCTTAGACATCGTTTTATTTCTGACTAGTTAACAATGATTTTGTTACATTGTCCCATGTTTCCTGGGCATTACCTGCAATATTCGTGCTAATGGGATTACAACTATTCTGCAAAACATCTGTAACTTGTTGGTAATTCCTCTAAATATGTTGGGTGACAAGAATAAATGCTTTTACACCACTGGTCACTTTATAATGTTCTCGACTGATTTTCAGGAATTGATCTCTTTCCAGGAGGTACACCTATCGACTTGGAATGGACAGATGACATAGTCCTGCTTGGTGAAAACGCTGATAAATGCAGGGTCTTTTGATAGCACTCAGCAACAGTGAGACAGTGTTTAGAATGCGCTTTTCCCCTTCTAAATGCAAATTATTGCTTCAGGACTGGCCTACATCAACACCTAAACTAAAGATAGGGAGTAAAGTAGTTGAACGTGTCAACAACTTCACTTAACTTGGAAGTGCGACCAGCCTTAGTCAGTTGGTGCTTGACGAAATCTCTTCACGGATTCAAAAAACTCACTTGGCTTTTGCCATCTTACGTCACTTATGGCGATCCCGACCATTGCTGCTACCTTAATGTGGTGGTCGGGCTTGCCTATCTTAATGAACCAATCGAGCTATGCTGTCTGGATCAATCGTTCCTCAAGGTCCTACCACGCCAGACAGATCGATTGAAGAGCAGTAAAATTAATAGTAGCAAACCCAATGTTCGAGAACAGAGTCGTACTGCTGATTGTATAGAGCTATGACGGCGTCAAGGTGTTTCCTTCAGACAACCAGCACAACACCAATGCTGCCTTCCAACAAGAAAGGGCGGGGTTAGAAAAGATCGACACTGAGAATGCACACCTCGCCTTATCCCACGGATATCCGTCTCCGACCGTAAGGTCCCAACAAGTACGGATCTAACACGAAGTTACTCACAAAATGGTCGTGTGTGACCAACCTCTAGCACTTGTCTCTTGGGCACTGCGGTCACGCTCTCAGGTCACTAAGACCACCCCTAACCCGATTTCGTTTTCAAGTACCCTTACAATAACCTCAACGGTGTGGGCAACCGGGAAGTGATGAGTGCCCTTATACCTCTAACAGCACTCAAGGTCACTGTACTACCACCTATGGCGATGGCAAGGAATGCGTTTATCAACTAAATGATGGGTGTACTATGTGGCAGTTTGTTCTGTCCTACTTTACGACTCCGAAACGTGGCCATTAAGAGTAGGGGATACTTGTAAGTTGTTTGTATTTGATCACAGATTTCTCATAAATATTACCAGCATCTCGTAAGTAATCCAAAGTTAGATGCAGGGTATTAGGGAATGATCGTAAATCAGTTGATAAGGTTGTGAATCTTCGTCGACTGAGATGGTTGGGCCACGTGTTACATGTGCCTGGACACCGATTACCACGGTGTGCAATGGTGACTAGTGTTAGGGACGGTTGGAAGAAAGTTAGGGGCGGCCAAACCAAAATGTGGCATCAGTGCTTGAAGTCACTAACTTCTGGTCTGAGCAATGTTGGTAGATGAAGATTACTTGATTGGGGTCCGCGTGACTATCGTAACCAATGGTTGGAGACTCTGGGTGACATGGCACAGAATCGATCACAATGGCATCGGTGTATACGCTCTCTGTCTTCCCTTAAACTAAGAGATTAAAATCACTTCATATCTTTCTTTCTACTAACTAATTCTTTCTTCCTGTACTGTATCCTTATATGCAATCTTTCTCCTATATTTTACCACCTTTAACCTAACCACTCCTATGAATCCGGTGTTCATCTTTGTGCTAATGAGGTATGGCAACCTGGACCGATGCATATATGTGCCTGGTCCTACGTTGTAGCTGACTGACTGGCCGATTTTGAGCGACGTTGCTTCATATTTTTATTATTTATTTATTTGGACACATAGATATTGGTACAAGAAGGCACCGAATACATATGCGCCACACAAATCTCATTTGATTTGTGCGAGAGCTGTGATACTTCCCGGGTGCCCAAACCGAGGCAGGTGGTTTTCTTGGGGGGCCAAACCCGGAGCCTTCGACCTACAGGTCTGATCCATAAGGCAGTGTAGCATCGTAAGGAGATGCAGTCCCATGGTAGCCGGTGATCAACGATTGGTTCATACGCCATTTGTTCACTCAGTATACTAGAGCCCATGTGCACCATTGGTTTGGAATCAGGGTTTTTCAACTCCCCTAGGTGAACTCTCCATATCCACCAACTCGGTTAAGGCGCCGGATATTCGCTTCTCGTCCTCTCAATTTCGTAAACAACATCTCCGCTACGAGAAGGCAGTGAGTACCACTTCCCTGGCAAAGGCTATATATGCGTGGCCATGTGAGAGCATTTTGAGAGGGTGAGCGGACTCTCCCCACTCTCGACCGTACTAGGGCGTTTGGGGGCTACTTTCCGACTCGATTTTCAGATTTATGTTGACGGAATATTTGGTTGAAATTGAGTAGCTGACTTTTAATCAGATCAAAAGGAGTTCAGCAACTTCACGTTAACTCCAGCTTACAAACATCTAGCTGTACGATAAGAAGAAACCAAGAGGAAAATCATCATACTAGTGAGGACGTGACGGAAAACAAGCACGATGTAATGGTGTGTTATGAGGCGAATAGCATGAATGCATCCACCCAGATGGTCAATTTCGGACCTTTTACGTGAGATCTTCAACTAATATTCTATGTTATTCGCCTCAATCAGTCAACTTCTATCTTTTTTATTGATCAAGTCAACCAGCTTCACTGTTAGAGTTACTCAGTATCGTCCGGGAATATTTGTTTAGGCAATTGAGAGACAGCTATTTCCAACCAGAAGAATGCAAACTGTAGATGCTTTTACGTTTTTACTCGCGTTCCAGTAACCGCCTGTAGCGGCTTTTTGTCGGAACGCCTTAATATATTTGAATTTTTTAGTTCATCATCAGTTATGTGTATCAGGGCTATTCAGGTCATTATAGACTAACTTCCTCAGTTCATTTTTACGTTGACAGGGACCATAAAACCCTAATCTAATCAAAAAACAAATTGATATGGTCTACAAGCAACCAGTACTCATTCTAAAAGGAACAGTTGTTGTAACAATGTATTGGAAGCTTTCGTTGTCTACCGAAATCCGGCAAAATTCGAATTGATGGAGTTTGGGTTCTGTCTCGCCAGCTAATTTATTCAACCTTTGAATAGTCAGCGTGGAACTCTTTCCTTTTACTGCGGCTCGACCAATCAAATATTTTTTATCGATAATCATTCTTTTTAAAATCATGTCATGTAAGGAAGTCGCTCATATTTGTTATTTTAGATCAGTTAATTATCTAAAGACTAGTGAAATCAAGTAGGTCGTAATATATAATTCTTCAAATTCTATCTTTTCTTGTCTAGATTTGTGTAATTGCATTACTTTGTGATTAACACCTAATGTTATTTTTGACCTGATTTTTTAATTGTATCCTAACGTTTTTGTTGCATTTTACTTGTAGTATGACTTTTTACACGAAAAGCAAGTTATTGCTGATTATGATGAGTATTTCAACGCAAAGAAAAATTTAGATGAAACACTTTCCACATCAGTGTATGGAATTCCACCAGATCAGTCTAATCCATTACAGGAAAGCAATAAAAAGGGCATTGAATTACCACGCAGTTTTCATTTCTCTGATCCTCAGTCACGTTCTTCAAATAATTCGTGTCCAGCTTCAGTTATCGGAACACCTCCACCTGCTGCTAGTCATCTTGTTTCCGGGAAAATTTTGGAACCTAGCATAATAGATAGTGGAGCTTCTAGCCAATTATGTAAATCAAACAGATGAAGATTTCGGATAATAACCCTGAGTGTTCTAGTTCAGAGTTAATTCATATGAAACCAGTCTCTTCTACTAGTTCCACAATTTGCACATACTTAAAAGATTTGATATTCAACCTGACGACCCATTCACGATGACTGAACTTAAAACAATAAATGAACTTGAGGAACTTAAGGAAATTTTAATGCATGACTCCATTTCTAGTTACTGTCAACCACAACCTTATCATTCGACAACCAAGGATATAATAAGTAATCATAGTAAAGGTTCATCTGTCACCAACTCTTCGAATACTCACTCCGTAAATTTAGAAAAATTGAGTTATCCTGCTTTTTCTAGTTCAAAAAACAAACACGAAACTTGCAAATTTCCAGAAACAGCTAATTCATTTCAAAACAATTTTTGTTTCGTAAGTAATCATATAAGTGATCATCAAGTTCAAACACGTGCACAAGATGTAGCTATCTCAAATGGCCTTCATAATTCATCTGGATTTGGTAATGCACCGACAGGGTTTACAAATTCGTCTAAGCCATTTGTAAATTCCTGTGTTCCGTATAGCATAAAGGTAAGCATCCCATTTTTCCTATGGTTTTTCTATTAATCTAACTTCACTTGTCAAGTCAAACCAACCACATGTAAATGTATTTAGGTGTGAACCGTACATATTGTGTGACTTGTAACGATAATAACTGACTGTACAAATTTCGGTATATCTAATCTGAAACGAAGAGTTTTAGGAACACAAGATATTTTTTTCATGGTTGCTGTAGATTTGTAAACACCCATAACCAAAGCACTAGTGGGATAGATCTATATCATTATGAATTCTCCTTCACTAATCTCGTCATGTTGTAGTTAGTTCATATATTAGTGGCACACTATGCGAGATTAAAGTGAAAATAAACAGACATCACATACCAACTGCAAATGTTTTGGTAGGGCTTTACATAGTGTTTATTGTTTAGGGGAGAGATCGAGAGAATCTTTTCGCTGGTATTCGTGAGTTTACCTACAGTCGCAAGGGTAGCCATGCTTTAGAATTTCTCTCCTAATCAGGAAGTTACCACTGTGGTATTTAGATCTCAACATATATCCTGTAGTTGTATATAGAAATAATTTACCAGATAATAAACATGATAGGGCTTTAAGCCTTCGTTCTTATTCGGTTCTGTCAATGAAAATGAATTAAAACTTGTTAGCGGGACATAGACTGGATTAAAGCATGCTCAATGCACGATTGCTTTGGTGCACGCTGATTCGCTAATTCTTATCCAATCAGCACTGGTCGATAGTTAGAGAATACTCTAGAATCTTCTCGTGTAAAAACTATAAATATACTAACATTTTCTCTATTGTGCTTCTTACTTGCATCTTACTTCCATCTAACCTTGTTATTTGGAATATAATCTCTTTCCTGTTCAACCGTGTTCTGATTTGGAAACTTGTCGAGTGAACCGGTGTCCGAGAATACTAAGCAATAGGAATAGCTGGGGTCATAACCGTGAGAAAGAGATTATAACAACTTACATTTGAAATCAATAGTATTTGAGATCTGAGTACTCAAACCCGTACTTGGTAAATAAATTGCATTCATTTATTCTATATAGTAAATTATGTAAAACAAATTTTATTTATACATAAAGCGAAATTAAAGCGACATTAGGCGAAGTTAAATTGGTGAAAATAGTTGAATAATTGTGTCATTAGTTGTGAACGTGAAAAATAACTACTTCTTTCGTGTATCTTAATTGATGTTGATCGTATATTCCACCAGCATTCGTCTGAGAACATCTATTACATCACCTTACTAGAGCCCTAAGTATAACCATATGACCATATCTATTCTTTAACGGCCTTTCAGTGTTAATATAACTTAATTATATCATTGACTGATTTCAGATACTTCGACCGACATCTTCGGAATGCGTGACCCAAGACATTTCCCGTTCTTCCGGGCAACCTAAAATTTCTGTTTTAGGCATTTTGCTACTAACCATTTAGCTGATATCAGAAATGCAGACTTGATAGCGACCAAATGTTTGGAATGTTTAGCAACAGAAAGTAGTGTAGTTTTCGGTGTCGATTTTTTTTGCTGCCTGAGAACATTTGCATGTGTCTCGGTTAGTTGGAAATCAGGTAACTTTTGCTGTGGATATAGAAGTTTTATTTAACTCCCGTTAACACACAGTGTCAGTGTAATTTACGCAGTGATTCCCTTTCTGCAAGTTCAGCATTTGTATTTCATGAGGTTTGACGAGTATCGAACAAGTCATTTATGTTTGTTGAAAAAATTTGTTGACAGCTCTTTACGACTGTAGTAACTCCCTCAAACTAGTAAATTAGTTCATTCTTTCAACCACTTTACTCTTAGTTCATTAGTCTCTTAACCATTTATGCCACATTTATATATATATATAATATATATATATATATAAACAAGTGTTGTTTTTCGATGATTAATTTTAGTCGATTGCCTTCACCAATCAACCTCAAGCCTTTGGTAGTATCGCTGAACAGAACGGTCTTATAAATACTGAAAAATGTCAAGACATGTTTAAAATCTCCACTAATGGTATAAGAACACCTGATCCACATCATTCTCAAATAAAGCTTTTAGAAAGTTTGTTGTTGTGGGCAACAAATTGTGGTTTTTCTCATTCTCATACTCGTCGTCTCTTAGAATTAGGACTACAGAAAAGAGGTAATTCATGATGTCAGTTTTAAAAAAAAAAGAGTATATAACTGATTTGGTTTATCTTATTTTATCTCTAGCTAGATTTAATGTGTATGTGACCAAAGTATTATAATTCACTGAATAATTATCATATACATATTTTCCACATACATATAGTAGCTTGTATGTTTATCTATTGTGTTAAGATTTTATATTTTTTTATTTAGCATCTACTCACTTAAAGTAAAATTAATGAGGTTCATTTCATATCCTGTAAACATTATTGTTTTTGGTGTTTAAGTGAGTGTAATAAGTGTATAGAAATTTTTCTATAATGTCAGTTGAATGGTTTATTATTTCAAATTTTACTTGACTTAGATCTCTTTTCAACTACAATAGCTAATATTGATATAGAATAAATGGAATGTGGCTAGCAGTGGAATCCAAGAAGTGCGTTCCATCGTATTTAGGACTCGTTGACCTGGTTTACGTGTATCTCGATGGGATGATCCAAATCACTTCAAATTGAGGTAAATAGCATACTCGTTTCACGACTGAGTGGCTCTCTGGACTCAGTAGCCAAGTGAATAACGCAACGGTATTTAAAGCAAACGGTACTGGGTTCGAGTCCCGGAACGGTCATCAACTCTGTCATCTAGGTACATCTAGCTGATAAGTCCCAAACAGAGCGAGACGCGCTTCCTGGATCTCACTGCTAGCTACATTCCATCTATTCTATATCGGCTTGTATCATAATGATTACATCGAGGCAACCCGCATAGAACGCCTATATACCAATCAGGACTGATCAAATATCAGTCGAAAATGTAAACATCCGGATAGTCCAGACCGTTTCAAATTGAATTAATCGGTAATATTTGTAATTCTGATGTGAATGTCTACTTTTTACTGTTCTAAGAGCTGTAATTTGGTCGGTAGGGGTTTCACTATCAATTTGCCTCCCCCTTAACTAGTTAATCTTCATGAGTAGTGTATTGACTTACTTTGACAGTGCACATATGTCACGTTTCAGTAAATTCTCATGATATGTGCTGTTTAGCTCACCAGCTATTTGTTATTATTTGACAACCCGTCTGCATCATTCCATACGTTAAGTGTGAAATCCACCTTAATGTGTAACATCAATAGTAACTGGGTTGTTGTTCCAGTTTTTTTTGACTAACTTCAATCCAATGAGATAGTGTTTATTGGTTTTAAATAGTGCTATCATAATCATTGCTTCCTAAATGGAGGCAGATGTCATTCTTAAGATTTCAAAACGATCCTTCATAAAAGTAACCAGCCTGTTGTTTGTGTTGAACTCTAAAAGTTACCACCTTAGATTTGTCTTAGCATAGTTTCTTTTCCAAGCAGACATGGTAGTCAGGTAAGCTTGCACAAATCTGGCAAGTCTGTAGCCACGCACATTACTACATGCTTAAGTGGTTAGTCCTAAATTTTGGACGGAGAACTTATTCTAATTATTCCGATTGTCATGTCACATATATTTGAGCTCTTCACTTATATGTAATGTTGATTATTTTTTTAAATTTATGTGCTCATCATAGTATTTATAATTTCATTTGCTTCTTGAATTTCTTTTGTGCTTATAAAAATGAAACTACCTTATTATTCGCATGGCCGGTCTATTACTGAGCTCCAAATCTCTACGTTCGCTGGATCTTTCAGTGGATGTTTGCCGTTCAATATTAGCATGTCCAAAATATACGTTAACATGAATACAATTCGTGTTCTAGTTTTGTTATCTACGTTGTGTCAAAGTGATTTATCAGCAGAATCTAGACGTAGTAAATAGGATATGCATTTCGTCAGCGTCGATATCGTTTAATCATACTTAAGTCAGACGAACACTGAACGCTTTAAAGTCACTTTCAAACATTTTAGTAGGCATTCGGCTGAAATAAATCTTTTTGATACTCGAAGAGCTAAATTCATTAAGCAATTAGCGACTTTCGAATATCATTACATTACAATTAGTTATAATGTCTTTAGGTCCTGATAATGCTTATTTGACATTAATATTTCCAGACCTATTATAATTTTGAATGTACTAAAAATATTCTGTATTGTTTCCTTTGTATTATTTAAACTTGTTAATTTAGGTCAGTTATTTATTTACTCTGAAGAAGTGACTTACATTAAGTCATGAAACGTTAGAAATACCATTTTTCTACTCATTGGGATATGACAAATAATATATTTATTACTAACTTTTTAAAGAAATCGGAAAATGTCATACGTGAACAAAGAAATCTACTTAAAAGTTGTTCCATTGAGTTCATCTTTTTTTTTTAACTTTAAACACTTTACATTGTACTATATGGGGTGCTAATTAGTTTAAACTTGTGAATCAATCTTGAGTACTATAAAACCTATCTCATGTATGTATCAATCCATGTTGCCATATCATATCAGTAACTACGGTTAAGGATTGTATTTTGTGAATTTTGTTTCTTATCATTTCGGAAGTTCTCTTTTGTCAACTTAATGTGGATAAATATACATTGTTTCTTTTTTCATTTTAGCCTTTACATGTCAAAATCTTGAGCAGAACAAATTGATCTTGTTAAATCTTCTTCATACTTTTAACTCACTATTGACAACTTTCTCAACTAATCAAAATTCTCAGAAGCTTAGTGAACAATCAGCTCTTTTGATTACAGTTACACATCCTAATAATCTATTCAAGGTGAGGATTATTTAAAACTAACAAAAAATAATTGGGTTCATAAATTGTGGAAAATTAAAATGTATCATAGACCAGTGAGTTGTTTGAAACGCGAAATTAAAATATAGTTTAAACGTTTCCGTAATATTTGGTTTGTTCTTAAATTAAGAAAAATGTAGTTTCACACTGTCCGGCCAATAAATATGCGAACTTAGCTACCTATGGACGATTTTCGACCCTTCATGCTACTGAAAGTATCGAAGGTGTTTGATTTCTTGAACATCTTGCTCACCAGATGATTGTTAAAGATGACTGGATATCATCTGTGCGCACAATTCTAACGAAACACTGAGAGTTGAGAAATTTGTATTCCAGAGCCATCTCAAGGTTATTGAACTTAACTATAAGTTGAATTGAACCGAACGTCGCCCCAACAAGATATGTTCTGTTCAAACTACGGTTGTTCTTATAATGAGTTATGATTCTGTAAATTTAACCTTAAGCTTTGGCATCTAAGGGCTTCCAAATATGTTTTGAATAGTGAAAACACAGACGGAGCAAACATAGTACTACAGATGTTTAGTATCTTAAAGTGAATGAGATTGATGTACTGTAGATTTTTCATAAAATATTCTTAGGAAAGTTCGCCTATTTAGTTGTCAAGAAAGTTGCTTCATTACAAAGAAATTATTAAAGTTATGGAGTTTAGGAAAATAAAAATCTAGTTAAACTATTTAAATTGTAATTGTGGTTTTGAGAGGAAAGCAAAGTTGCAAGTCATATCGACCATGTAAATGTCAATCGCTCATTATCTGAGAGTGCAATAAATGATATTTTTCAAGTTTATATCGTTTTTTTCGCAGCTGAAACCACGGGTTGATCTGAGCTAGACCACCACCGAAAATCTAAAAGCACTAAACGGCTGTTTCGTCCTAGTGTTAGACTCCTCAACCATGAAAATACTACAATCTTCACAAGTCCTTCATACTTATATCGTCTTTGTTTTGTGTGAATGTGAAAAAGAAAAGCAAATATGCCTGTTTACTGTTTAGCTGTAGCAGTCTGAGTTTTCGTTTTCATCAACTTAGCCTCACCGATAAAGTCAATTACAAGTTTATAAGACCAAAAATGTAACATTATTAGAACTTATATTATTAACTAATATCATGGTAGGAATCATTTCGCTAAATTTACGGAAGTACCAAGAGAATAGATTTAATCTGGGATATTAGCATTTTTGTCAATTTAATCTTACTAGTGCACATTATATTAAATGAATTGAGTAACAGTTTCAGAATATTCAAAGCACTTTTCACAGAGTATATAATTGGTTCAAATTTTTACTCAATATTGTCGTAGGAAGTGATGTAATTGGTGAAATAAATATTACTGGATAGAGTGTTAAGCATTAGCTGTAATGATAGATATAACTCAAGATAGTAGTTGCTCTTGAATGTTATAGGCTTTTATAGATAGGTTTCATTGGGAATGTTGTTTTCTTGTGGGACTTATTTTTTCTTTGACGGGATTCATGTCTGGATTCCTAGTTTGCAGCTTTCTCGAAATTAGGAAGATTTGTTTAAGTTTGTAACTGGGATCTAATCCCGATTGCTTTTTTGAGTAGTATTATCACAAAAGAAAAAAGGTTATATCCCACATTTCTATCACTCCGATTCAAATTAACCGAGAAGTGTGAATAAAAATGTCTTTTTTAACTTCAATAAAATCAAGTTACCCTGTGATTCAAGGTAACAGTTTCATATCGTAAGGCCAGATATTTTAATTTTTACTAGACAATTGTTTTAGTCTGGTACATGTCCTTCCGGGAATATTTTAATTTGTTGTAATATGTTCAAAAGACCTCAGCTTTTATGGCGAACGTATTTAACGTAAACCATCAATTCTTGCTCCTGTAATTGATTCGTCTCATGATGACAGCGTGATTTATCTTTGTCATAAAATTTACCGTTTCAATAGCACGTGATGATTACATTTTTAACTATACCCATTAAATCCACTAACAATTATCATATAAAGTCAGTAGATAAAATCTTAGTTTTGAAAGATATATTGATGGAACAACTTTTTTATTACGTAACATTTTTCAAGAACTCAGTGTGTAAAATGAAATTCGACAGCAGTTAAGGGATATAATATAGAATTCCGTCATTACATGATTCAGGTTTTCTTGGCTGCCCCAAAGGTAACGGTCGACTATTTATTATCCTTATGGGTTCCGATCTTGATATTACACAGATGTAACCATCGTTTCTCACTTGTGATTTTTTCTAATTGCTCAATAATTGGGATTAACTGTCCCTCATTATACTCACATTTCTACCTAGAATCTCTGGAGGAAGCAACCGCAATGGCTCAGTTGTAACCTCTTTCATTGCAATACAGCATTAAGGTTTGGATTTCTGAGACATTATCACTTTCCTCACGATCACAGATGTGCTTTACTGATAAGTGTGAAATACATATCCAGGGTTTTCTATGTATTGATTTCAAGACAGAAAGTAATGATTATCAGCTTGAAATTACAAGGAATAAAATATTGGTAGAGCTTCGTTCTGTAAGCTGAATGGTTTATTTGTAAAGCGTTCACTGTTTTTCCACACAATATAATCAGGAAAAACATCAGACAGATGTAAAGTATTCGAATTTCTCCATCTATGGCTGATGGTTTGTTATTCAACCTTGATCCTAAATAGTTATTTCTAACCATTAACATGTCGTCTTCATATATATTTTGACTGTACAGACTTGGAAAATAAGTCATTTCTATTTAGAGGATAATCTCATATGTTGTTTCTTATTCGTACTATATGTTTAAAAACATTTATCGGAAGTGCAGGTTTAAAACCTGACGGCTTTCTAATTAAAACTTAGATTCTGTCATGTATATGTTTTATATATTTTTACCTACTTCACATGATTTGATCCAGAGCTGTTCTAGTAATGATCGCATCGTATAATTATGGACCAGGCTCATAGCCTTAGTATATTCATCTCCAATTAATTTCAAAAGTATTTTTAAATTGCTACATGGTACCTGCATAAAATAATTATGTCTTTATACTTCTTGTTTACTCTAGGCACAACAACTGGCTCGCCTAGTTATTTATCTAGAACAGAGAGGATTCTCACAAGATATGATCTATCGCTATATACAAAATCCTCATCCCATGGAAAACGAAGAAGTGGCCAAATTTCTCAACGATTTAACGACACCTGCCAGTACTGTTCATCAAGTCAGACCTATGAATTTTCCATCATCAAAATCACTTAGCATGAAATACCCAGAAAAATGATTGTGAAGACGATGGAAAGTATTCTTTCATTTTCTGATGTTCATTGTTTTCTATGAAATTTCTCTAATATCAGTCGTATACCGTACTACTAAAGCTGTGATCACTAAAGCTTTTCAGATTATTTAACAGCCAAACATTTCGTTTTCTTCCATATAATATTTGTGCTACTTTCGTATTATATTCCCATTATGTTTGCAGATAATAAATAGTAATGGTATAAGAAGAACGGATCGTGTCAACCAATTTTTTTTATCAGTTTGACTTTACCTTTTCTCAGGTTTGTGTCGAATTCACAGTAATCAAAACTAAGAGGCTCTGTGTGTTCACTCATTTTCTCTATTACATATATGAAATCTTTTGTAATTAACTCACAACTAACTACCAACTGGCAGTTGTTTGATATTTTCTTTTAAAAATTATTGTATGTATACATATATAAGGTATATGTAGTTTCTATTTTTAAATAATTCACAGATGTTTATTTTCAAGAATAAACTTATTCAAACATTTCCTAAAATATCCTTCCTCAAAGAATTTCATAGACGCATTTTTCGTTTGTTTCTGTGAAGCATTTATTCCACTGACATGTAGATAGCATTAGATGTAATACTCAGAGCTTTTGATCATGTTTCCGGAACTGAGTGGAACATATAAATGTAATTTTCGTTGTCTACCGGGATTTGACACTGACATAATGTTAGGTCCTGATAAAAACTATTACGTCATTTGAAGCTTCCAGTTGGCTTCCAATACTTGTGAATGAAGGATTGATTAAACGATTATGGTATTAACATTTCTGTTCCTGGCACACAGTTCAAAAATTAACCGCTAAAGCAAGTGTACGAAAAACTCGATATCCATCTAAATTTACTTGGAATATTACAACTCATTGCACATAGTAACAAAGACATGACCTTCAGGCATACAGAAAATTAATTAACTAACTGTAGTAGCAGCCAATCAAGAGACGACAAAGGTCATGCGAAAAATCGGATTACAGAAGGAACACTCGTGTTTATCGCTATTACTGAAGATTCACCATTATTTACAAAAGCTGAGCAGCTTTTTAATTGTCTAAGCACATGCTTGTCCTCGATTCCTGCCTTAATTCTTTTAGGACGGGTATCTAGTTGAAAATTTCCTGCGTCACTAACTGAAAAGAGCTGCGAAAATCCTTCGGCAATGCCGACATGTCATCCTCCTATTATTAAAATTATCTCACTAATTAAAAGCGAATGGAACCGTGGTTTTTCTTGTGTTGGGCCTTCTACATTACAAAGAATTAGTTCTTGACTGGATCGACTAAAATACCGGATGACTTCTTTACATAAGTTAATGTGTTGTTGTGGATTCTAAAATACATGAAATCAATGATTTGTGGATGTGATATCGATTTCGGACGTAGGTCCGAATGTCACAAAGGTGAACAGTTGTGCAACTAACGATAATTTGAAGATTAGCATTCGCTATTCTTCCCTTCTTAGGGCCATTTTAACGCATACTAGTCACCACTATCTCCAATCATTATTCCTCTTGATAATATGTCACAATATTCATCTGTTCACCTTTGTAGACATTTTTTCAATATGTATCAGTAATCAAGTCTTCCCATGGAATCTCCTTTAAACATTTGGTAATGAGTATTTTGCAAAGAAAACATTAATTAGCATCAATTCTGTTTATTTAAATTACCGAATTATGTAACCAAATCAGTATAACAATCAACAAAAGCGACCATGAATAATATTTCGTCTTCTGAACTTTACAATTTCTTATTCTTCATTATTAATATAATCAATATTTTCAAATGAGATACTTCTACCTGCTGATTTTAATAAATTTAAAATTAGGAATGATTCACTTTCATCCGTATTGTTCATAATGGTGTCAGAAGATATATCTCTTGTAATTTTTCTAGGTATCTGAAAACTGTAATAAGCATCTGTTAATTGTTTAGTTTTCATTGTAGATCTATTCTCATCAATTTTTTTATTGTCATCAACCGCCCCTCCACCAGAGGGTGTCGATGTAGCTAGTGGTTTGTAAATGTGGTTTTTCGTAGATGATAGTATCGGCAGTTGTTTAGTGATGAAGTCACTCGTAATAATCGACTCATCATGAGTGTTTGTTTTCTCTGTTGGTGGAGTCTCACGTTTAAACTGATAAAACCAAAACGAAACAAAAAGTAGGAAAACGGTTAGCAAACAATTATTTGATCGACGAATAAGGAGATATCTTAAAAATTGTCCTCAAATAATGATCAACATATACCCTAAATTGTTTGAAAAAATCTAGATGAACGGTGCTCTTGAGGTACATGACAGATACACTTCGCTGAACATTCGTATCAGTCTAGTAGAGGTACATCTAGCTATCGAGTCATATATGAGAAGAATTACATTACATTACATTGCTAATCACTAAAAGACAACAGAATGTGGTCAACTGCAATGTCAACACATTTGAACTAAAAGTAAGTGTTTCACAAACGATTATTTGTGTCCCAGCTTGAAACGCAACTGGGATAGATTATTATTAGGATATTCTTTAATAAACCATTTCGATAGAGGAATAAGAAGATGGAGTTGATCTAAAAAATGTGATGTATTTACGTTATACATTTCGAACAATCTGTTCACACATCCTTGTCAGGGCATTTTATATAAAGACTAATGAAGGTCAATGAAATGAAAGTCTAAGTAAGCAAGGTAATGAAGGGGACATTTAATGTTCACATAAAATGTCCTGACTAGTATATATATGCCCAGATTGTTCGAAGTGTATAGCGTAAATACATCACATTTTTCAGATCGACTCTATCTTCTCATTGCTCTATCGAAATTTAAAAAAGCGACTAATTGCTTTAATAAAATATTGTCTGCTATTTAACAAGTACCAAATTATTATTTTTTAGTCGTCTACTCCATAAAGGTGGTCATTTTGTATCTAATGTATCGTTAATACCAGTATGTATTTAAAGACCATAGTAGTACGTTCAACTTTATCTTTGAAGCAGTTTAATTTACTGGAGGGCAGTTAAGCGTGATTTTCAAGTCTTCATTTAAGTATTCTGTGGATGATCCATTAATATTCGTACTCACTGATAGCTTATGTTTTGAGTTACTCTTCATTGCATTTATTATTATATTAACTTTTACCTTTATACTCAAGTTACTTATTGAATAGAATTAAACCTATTTTACGTCTTACTTTTGTTTTAATTGATGCCAATTCATTTTAGGAAGAACCTTTGTGTCATTTTTTCAGTTTGCTTGCAGAATCATCACTCAATCATGTTATACCATTTCAGACAATCGTCCATATAGACATAAATTCACAAAGTCGAGTCTATTCGTTTTTGTATAGTGGAAGCGAATGACTAGTTATTAAATATAAAAACAATTCTGAATTAAAGTTTGTTGATAAGATTTATAATAATAATAATAATAAAAAGTAAAACCTTTTGAAGTAATATTATTGGTCAACACATTTTATCAGCTGAATGTTTCTTCAAACAATCATATTCATTCATTTTTATCTAATTCTTGAAAATGGCAAACATAACGAATATCAATCTGCATTCACCGCTGTTCACAGTGACTTATTTGGTAATTTCTAGATAATCTAAGTTAGGTCATTGAATTAATTTACAAGATATAGTATAATATATATGCCGTTAATAATTAAATGTACCAGATAGTAACGCTTACCTTTGAACCATTTAGACATTTTGTGCAATATGTCTTTTCCATGTTAGAATTTTGTTTTCTATATGGGATACAAAATGTATCTTCACATCCTTCAACTGTTGAATATGTTTGAGTTGATACTGTTGATGTCTTAGCAGATTTTAGATTGTTTATTTTATCAGGTAAATAGGATAAACCTAATAAATGAATCTTTTCTTCTTGTTCCAAATTTAGATCACTCTTTGAATAATCTACGTGCTTAAGAGCGTTAACGTTTTTATTGTAAATAAAGTCATTCTTTTGTTCGTTTGGGAAATGTTTGACAATATCCCGATTTTGATTATCTTGATTACATATATAAGTTTCATTTAACTTATTACATTCAGTATTGATTACTTTGAAAGGAAACACTAATTTAAACTCTGCTGAAGACTCATGATGTTTGAGTGTATGAGCATGAGCTTTTTTAAATTTACTTGTCAATTTATGAAAATTATGTTGAAAAACTTGATCACTCTCTAAATTTTCGAAATAATTATTCATACAGCAATTATTGTGTCCACTGAATTGTTCAAAGTCTGTTGTCATACAATGTCTAGGTAAGTAAAAACAACAAGATTTTAATTCAATAACTTGGTGTGAAACGAGTTGAATAATTCATAATTCTAATAGTAAAATGAAAATTACTGATTTTCATACTACATAATTAACTGAGTAAAATTTGTAATCTTGTAATACAACTACACGTTTTCATGGGTTACTTCCAACAAAGCTATTGCCTGAAACAAGTAGATAATCAATAATGTGTTTGTGGGCATTAGTCTTACAACTTCACCAGTCAACATTAGATAAAAAGAAACAATAATAAAAATTCACATCACGAAGATGAGAAGGACTCAATTAACACATTCACCAAATTTAAGTTATTGTTTGATTAAACTTTCGTTTCTACGAAATAAGACATTGTTTATAAATTTTCAGAACAAATACATATTGGTATAACAGACGGTTTAAAATATCTTTCTCTCAGGTACATTTTATTAATAGTACGTCGATACGATAATGAGATTAGTCACGTCATATAAGATCCAGGATTCCCTGCCCAGAATAGAGAACCAGATTAACACTAAATAATACCTTATTCAGCACAATTACAAGCAGTAAAACTCAGTGACTCTGCAGTAGAAATCAATGAGAGGAAAGGAAGTCACATATTTAATAGTCAGTAGGCTAAGTTCCTGTTTGTCTACACTCAGTGACCGATCGTATTCCACTTTTAACTACCACATATAAATGGGAATAATATATCTTATTTACATTCATACAGTGTTTAACAGAAGCATATCTAAAATAATAGCAGATAATAAATCAGTTTCACAATGTGAATACTATTACTTTAATGATGTTTATATGTTGTAAAAAATAATATGTGAAGGGTATCTAAGGGATAAATATAAGAACAGAAGAAACTCTTAACGTTTAATTTTCCTCTAAATGTTCAAATTCAGAAACAATTTTTAAAATAAGTAATTTTAATTGTTGGTAGAAATTTCAAATATCCATAATATTTTGTGAATATAATTAACGTTCACTGACGTCTTATTTTTAGATATTTTAATCTTTACATAAAAGTATTTCATTATTAAGTTGAACGTACCTGGATTTACAGTCATCTAAAAAATCCTGAAATTCATCTCTGTTCGTTTCTATTGGATAAAAATTTAAATTATTTACATTATATGGTTGACTAGCGAAATTAAACTTCCAATTATCTTTTGAAGACTTGTTGGTAGAATTAGATTTCTGAGTGTTTTGAAAAAAATTTGGACTAAAATTTAAAATATTATCAATTTGAAGGTTTGTATTTGTCTGTTTACTGTACAGCATTTGACAGTTTTTACACAATCCAATATCATAAGATCTAAGTTCTTGCTCTTCATATTGATTAAATTGATTTTGGGATAAAATACGCGGTCTATTATGATATACATTTGTAGGTATAATTTTGCTTTCCATCTGAAAGACAATACATGCGAAGTATCTCATATATTACCGTATATTTAAGAATACTTGAGGTTAGGACAATAAAAAAAGAAATTCCTGTTGAGCAGTCAAAGAATTAATCGTAATAAAACATAAACACACATTCATGTATGACACCGAAAGGTCCAAAAGCTCAGTTTATAGTGAGTTGGCTGATAATAAGGCACAAGAAAAGAATTGCGTGTAATTACGTCGAATTCTGAGCTTAGACATATTGAGAGTTACCAATGAGATATGTATTCTCAACAACTAAAACAGTTTTAGAATAAACATGAGCGTGAAGAGAGTGAGTAACAGCTGCCCGATCTTAAATATGTCATTTTAAATTTTGTATACGAAAGCCTTAAACTATAATCTCTGAAATCGAACCTCAGTCATTTAAGAAAAGCCTGCTCCAGTGCCTTTTTTCTAACAGGCTTTTAGCATGAGTACTGAAGTACTTTTTAAAAAGTGGTGAGAACTCTTTGATATGGTTTTCTGATGATTAGACTATAACAGAGATTTTCGAATCTTTTTACATAGATTCATGACATAGGGTTTCTGATGAATCTTCCAAGCTCTTGTAATGGCAAGTCATGAGTCTCAAAAAGTTGATTTTTAATGCCGTTTGCAAAGATTCATGTGCATTTACTTCTAACCCCACTCGAGTTTTTAATTTCGCATAAACTTGAACAATAATACTCATAAAGATACCTAGGAGAAGATAATGTAAATCTTTGAAAGGTAGAGGCGCTTGTTGATCTATCCTTCAGAAAGAGATAAATAAGTAGTTCTGCAAAAAGGTTTTAGTAGTTCAAGATTGTGATAAAAATCATATTATCTTCACACATTTTATTCTGCCATGAAAATACACTGGATTTTACAATAAGCTGTTAAAGAAAGGTAATTTGTTTGCATTGGTCAATCAGTCATGAGCAACGTAGAACTTGGCACATACATATGTTAATTACAGCTACCATACCCTATCAGCACAACTAAATGAAATTGTTCAAGCCAGTTCCAGGTTAGTATAAGTAGTAAGAAAATGAGTGGTAATAGAAAAGTTTGGGCATCATAGATAGGATTCGGGAAAAAATATAAATTAGTGAATTAAAAAATGTTTTAGGCAATTAGGGAACTTAGGAATTAGGAAAAATGGTGAATGCAACTGCACAATTGTGAATGGTTTTAGGCAGTGTCACTCAAGGTCTCTAAAAATTTCTTACGATTTTAGTGGCCCGAGATCTGACTCCAGGTATATCGTTTCTGGTTGTTGTCGAAACATATGTGTGTCACTAATCCTCGTATATAATTGTCGACTTAACGCGAGTTGGTGAATAACGGAATCAAATAAGTCAAATACGATGATGAATTTTGAACGAAATAACGCGCAACAGAGAAGACGAGTAAGCTAACTCAATTTAACCAAGCGTGAATCGATATTTACAGTCAGATAATAATTTACAGACATGTGATGAGTAAGATAGGAAATGCACACACATACGCTTACATAAAAGCAGTCAAGATTGATAAGCGAATAATTAACAAGGTCAAAAATGTGACTCAAGAAGAATGAATAGATTGGCCAGTCTGGAAGCTAGAATAAGCTATGTGCGCTTGCATAGCACTACACGATAATCACGTGGAACCCGATCAAGTGATTTGAGCCTACCTACATGGTTTAGTCCAAAGCTGAAGTAATTAGTAAAACAGCACCCATATGCCCTGCAGATCAGAACCTCTGTACTCATTAACTAGGACAACCATGGTCGTTAGAGGTGATTTTTAGTACAAATGCCCCCATGTTAATTATATTGAAACTCATTGGCAAGATGGTAAAATTCGTGAGGTTCTTCACTGACGTTTGAAGTGTCAAAAGCGATCATGTACTGTGATTACAGTAAAACTAATAGAATGAAAAACAAAATATAGGGTAATATCCTCTGAAATTTTTAACTTCTAAGTATTTTGTAAGATAAAGCTTAAAAATAAAGTATAGTTGTCTATTAAATGACCATTAGCGTATGACAGGTTGTATTTGAAAAATAAATGGAAGTTCCCAGCATTCTAAAATTAGCGCATATGGCATGATTATAAAATTCATAAAACTCAATACGTCTACTAACACCGATAATTTAGGCAAAAGGAAAACATTTTTCAAACACATAGAGACATATGTTTTGATTTTTTTTCTTAAACAATCATCACATTTAGTAACACATAACTATTCATCCATTCTACTGCTTTATAATTTCTTCAGACACTTGTCATCGTTCTACTAATCTTCCTTATTTATATAAAATATGTATATTGGTCATAATTGATCATTGGTATTGTTTTTAGGTTGTAAGCAGCTGAAGATGAACCGGGAAATAAATGAATTAATCTTATTCTGCTACACTTTTAATACTTGTTTTAATCAAATTCATGAAATTATGCATGTTTGACTTATGTTGAATAATAACTTCACTTGACAATATTAACATTATTAAATATATTTAAGATCTTTATACAGCACAAAATGTTTGCAGCACATCCATCTTACAGTTATAGGACTATGCGGTGTTTTTGTATTTAGTTCAAGTTAAGAAACAAAATAAACATTCGTTGCTCATGTTGTGTTAAGGAAAATGATTTCTAAACCAGAGCTTACGGCATGGGCACTTCTGTTGTTGATAACTGAGAAATTATTGGTTGAGTTATTATTTGGAAATAATGGGAATTCTACCATTCTAGGAGATTGTTGCATTTTTCGGGAGTACTGGGAAAAATACGAGTCAGAAGGCTGAATTATTTCGTCGTAATCTGACTTCGGAAAATGGATTTCATGAAGATGATCAAACAATCCAAAACTTGTTTCTTTATCAATTGTATTCACTGGTTGTTTTAGATCATTTTCTGAATTGACTTTATTTCTTTGTATATCAAATAAATCTGGTGAGTCCGATCGAATACTAAAACCTGGTGACTAAAAAGAGAGGAAGTTTAAATATATGATACAAAAAATAATTAAATAAGTATTTTTAAATGATCTGTCTTAACATGCTACTTTCTCTAGTGATTATGAGTTACACAGTCAAGAATGATCAATACTTTCGACACTAATCTACAAATGAGTGTACAAGGAAAATAAGCATAAACATTTATTTGAACATATGAAATCTCATTCATTTTGCTTACAAGTTAGTTTACATTTCCAAAGTCAGTCAATTCACAATATTGCATGACTACCATGCGTTGTAATTAGCGATGTTTATTCTCACAGAACTTCAATAAGTTGTTCTAGGCTTTTATTACCGATCAACTAACATGAGAAATTCACTTGAAAATTTATGCATAGATTATCAATATACTCAGTTGAAATTTGTTTCATTTTGCCATGAAATGGGAATGTTTTACCTCACAGTTTTGTCAATATCACTTATTTCATGCGGCCGCCATATCTAAGTCATTAAAAGATGTTCATTTTATAAATTTAGATTTATTGCTAGGTATCTTTCTATAAGATTTTGTCTAAGTGCTACAGAAGATGCCCAGTGTAAACATGATTCATAATGTCAAATGAAAAAGAGAACTGAATTTATATTAAAGCAAATAATGAAGCTGAAGGAAAGTGTAAATCACACATGCATTTGACTTAATAGTCATTATATCATTAGTTTTGTACTTTAACTACTGAGCATAAGGTGTGAAATGACATAAATCTCGCTTAAACTTTATTAACGCTAATAATTAAAAAGAATATAGCACAGCATTTTGTAGATAGTTTATGATAAGTACTTTTCATCATTAGTGAGCATTATATTCGAAATCAGCGGAATACATGTACTGATCAAGGTCTTAATTATTACTTTTGACGAACATTTAACTACTTTGATGATAAAACTCATAGGTTTTAGAACAAATCAAACTGTACAAAACAGGATTTTAAAATTACTCAAAGTGAATAATTCATAATTACTTTTAAGACGGGTTAACTAAATTATCTTTAAAGTGGGTTGATTCGAAATGTCTATCTTGCATGAGTTTTTAGTCAGTTCGTTTTTTTTTTTTTGTGTTCTGTGATTGTTTATTTTAATGAACTCGTTTTGACGTCATTTTAGAAATCAAAATTTCTGTTCATTTGCGTCCTAATAAAGTATAGAAACGATAAATAAATGGTTATAAGGATTATAAAATTAAAGAAAAGTTGTTTGAAATATATATTGTTTGGGAGTATATTACTTCATTATTCTTAAAAATTTGTGTTATATATCGAAATTATTTTTGATGCACATTAGACTATTACCAATTTGAAACTGGTAGAAGCGCTGAACTCATTAAACTCACATAAATCCCTGAAGAACATGTATGATGAAATTCAGTATCAAAATTACTGCGATTTGCATCAAGTAGAAGATTTTATGCTCTGCTGGAGGCAAATATTCCTTAACACTAAGACTGATTTCTTTCCCCTCTCTAGGCTTATATGATTGACGACTAACTGGATAACACTGGATTTCCTCTGGAGGGTTGTTTCTTTCTTTAGACGTTCGGCCACCTAGTCCTCTAAAACAAGTGAAAAACATAGTAAAAGTTTCATTTAACCGTGCAAATGAGTAGAATTTATTGGTATGGGGATAGATTCGTTATGTTAACTGTTTACGAATACAAACTTAATGACTATCATTACTTTTATCAAGTGATGGAATGTTTTGTTATATTTAATCGACTGGTTTCATCCACTAATTGGTCGTTCGGTTATCGTATTATCCTAAATCCATTACGAAAAACTGCCAATGTGTGGAAGAAAATAAACTTGGAATCGCTTTTGGATATTAGTTGTAATTGACCTGTGTTCCTAAAAGGAAACATTGAAGATAACATTTTCATTTTCTTAAAAGTTATCTACCGCTATTATAAATCACACTGATTAGCCCAGCGTCTAAATGAATTGAAAAATTCCTTACATTTTGCTCGGTAAGAAAAAAATAATCATGAAAATAGATTAATGGTAATAAAGAAAATATGAATTGAAATCAATCATTTATGTATGATGTAATATAAAAGAGTTGGAGTAATGACGCAATAAATAAATAGAGAAATAAATGAATTAAAGGGGTTATTGTTACCAGGGTAAAGAAAGATTTATTACTGTCTCTTTTTGTATACATAGATCTGGTTTTAAACGTTTGGTTGCTATTGCTTCAGCAAATTTCAAAAGGTTCGGGTTTGATTGTTTGTTAATCACCTTAAAGGACTTCAGTATATCAACTTCATGTCCTGTATCAAGGAGATGTCTTGCGATGGCACTGTTGAATGCGTTCAATCCATTTAATCTTAAACTTTTCGGAATATGTTCTTTGAATCGGACGTAGGCTCTCCTTTCTGTTCTACCAATGTAACTGCTTTGGCAGGTACATGTAAATTTGTATACACAGTTGGTGGTAACATGAAAGGGATACCTGTCGACCTTTGATTGTGTCAAAGAACATGTTGTTTTGGACAGGACAATCAATTTCGCTGCAGGATAAGTTCTTGTCAGTGCAGTTTTTAGTCTCATATTGATTGATCCTGTGACATCGTCACCTTTGAATTGAAGTTGAATAAAAATAGGCTTTTTATTTGCTGTAATTTCTTTCGGTTTTTTATCTTCACGTTTGCCGTATTTCTCAATAAATTTCAGTGGGTATCCGTTATTCTTTAAACATTTTTTAACATTCATAACTTCCTCTTCTAGTGTATCGGAAGTACATATTCTTTCTGTTCTGTGAAACAGTGTTTTGACCAGTGCCTTTTTGTAACTGATTGGACAAAAGCTATTGAAATTGAGATAACTACCATTCCATGTGTCTTTCTTATAAACTGAACGTTGAACTGTACCATCCTTTCTTCTTTTCATCACGATATCGAGAAAATGGAACTTGTTTTCTTTTTCATGTTCCATAGTGAAATGGATATTCGGATGTGCTTCGTTGAAAAACTCTAGCAGATTTATTGCATGTTGTTGATTATTACATACGATGAAGGTATCATCAACATACCTCGAATAATACGTCATTTCATCAATCGCTCGTTTGAGTTTGGTTCTTTCGAGGTTAGCCATGAAAATATCTGCTAGGACAGGACCTAACGGACTTCCCATCGCTACACCGTCGGTTTGTTTGTATATGATATCGTTGAACTGGAACTGAACATCTTTTGTACAAATGAGTAATAGTCGTTTGAATTCTGGTACTGGTAGAGGTAGGATGTCAGAATGTTGACAAATTATGTCTATGGTTTCAAGAAGTGGTATTTTTGTAAACAATGATGTTACATCAAAAGAAACCATAAACTTACCAGCAATATTTATGTGATTCATGCTGTCAGCAAATACAAATGAATCCTTTAGTGTATAGGTGGCTAATCGTTGACGCACTGGTTCTAACTTATCTGCCAACCATCGTGCAACTTTGTGGTATGGTGAATTGATCATTGACAAAATAGGTCTAAGAGGATAACCTTGTTTATGTATTTTCGGTAATCCATACATGTGGGGCAAACGAGACCCACGAGGTCGTAGATTATTGTAAGTAGAGTTATCGATCGTCTTTTTCAGAAGATCTCTGAGTACTTTGGTGATTCTTTTCTCAATGGAATCAGTTAAGTCTTTGTTACTTTTTCTAACTTGAATCTCATATGGTCATTCAAGATGGACTTCATCTTAGAGACATAATCTGTTTTGTTCATTAGAACAACACTTGAGCCTTTGTCTGACCGTAATATCATTATATCGTCATTTCGTTTAATATTTCGTAATGCTGTTTGGTGGTCTTTGGATAAAAGCTTAGACTGTGGTGCGGGTGAAACAAGATATTGGTTTGCAATATCGACTAGTTTAGATTTAAACCAGCCTTTCTTTTCTTCACTAACTGGGTGCAGCTCTTTAATTTGATCAAATAAATTCTCAAATTGAGTTTCTGTGTCGATTCTGTCGGCATGTGTTTTGGGGATATGAAATTTAAATCCAAGTGACAAGGCTTCTGTTTCTGTCTGATTTAACTTCATTGTTGATAGATTATAGAGAAACTTTTCGGGGTTTTCCGGAAAGCCAAAACATAAGTGTTCCTTTGACAGAGTCTTTGACAAAGTTACGTGGAAATTCTTGCATATTTTGCTTTGCAGATCTTGTATAAAGTTGATAAATTTTATGTGACATACGATACTTAGATCGTTGATTAATCCATCAAAGGCATTAGTTTCTGCCCTCAAACGTTCAATCAGTAAATTTGTTCAGTATCGTTCATCTATAAAGCAAATCCTGTCTGGCCTCGTACAGGATAATAACGAATCGAGCGACCAGAGTAGTGCTTTCAGAACCAAGTTCACATAGTCTGTCAAGTTATGAGCAAACGACATTAAATAAAAAATCTGACCACACATCGACTAGTGTTGATCAAATGAAACGGTTGGTAAATACTGTTGCTCAAAAACAAACATTCCATCCAGCCGATCCCATCGGTTGATGATTAGTTTAATTATTCTCAAGCCTCCGAATGATTGACTCCTCTAATAGGAACATGAAGCTTTTCATTCTTTATAGAGTTAAGACTAACTGTCTGCTTTAAACAGGATGATTACCTATTGTTATAAAGGTAAACACTCAAAGTAAAGTAAAAAAACATGTGAATAGTATCGAATTTATTCTGTATTATTTGTTTAGTACAATATGGAGTTGTCAAAATACAATATCTCGTCAAGTTTCCTTGACACTTCTTATAACGCAAAAAGAACAATCGATAAGCACATGCATGTATGCATGAAATTGGAAAAAAATTATTTACAATTAAATGAATTGTTCTTCAGAAAAGAAGAATCCAATCAACTGTGAATTATCAACGTGTTCATGAATATATGTTTAGAATAAATCGGTCCTTACAACTTGTTTGTCTCACTGTGTGTGTTAGATACTCTATTGTATAGCTTCTGATTACAGGTATGTCTATAATTGCAGAACAGTGAATAGTGTACAGTTTCAACAGAGCTGTCTAAGAGATTTTCTGCTATAATCTACATATCTTTAATTTATTTCTAATAGTCGATCGCATAACAATCTACTTTCTGGGCTGATAATGGTACGTTACATCTCTTACTTTATTTTGCTCACTCACTCATTTATCCACATCATCTAAGGTGACTAGAATTAGAGTTTTAAAGCAATCCAATGGGACTAGCTACATCATTAAAGGGAACTAATTCATAATGAGCTTCAAGATGTCTTATTTGTTTCAGTATAATTCATAGGTAAAAAACAATGTAAAGCCTAATTTTAAGGAGAAAAAGCTTTGTACCATGCCATACTTCCAAAGTTTTTCAATGAATACAAGACTCGGGGAAACCGTTTTCATATTTACGAGAATCTCATTGATATTCACGACTCACGTGGAACAACTAGCTGCAGATATCATATCCATTGTATATTTTCCCAGTCAGTTGTTTTACTATATCGAATTTGGGTGCTACAATTTGCCGGAAACTTAGCGTGGTTAGTAATGAACAGCCTCCAAATAACGTTATGCACTGATTTTAAACCATTATTTGGATGAGAAATTAAAAATGGAGTTTTTACGTTATAATAACTAAGTATTAAAAATGAGGTTTACATTGAAACTCTAATTAATCATGAAATCAAGTGTTCCCAACGTGAACTACCCAAATTAGTCTACAGACTAATTATAGAATGATCTCGTGTGGAGATTTTCACAACTTTTATTCTTTTGCTCTCTACTTTATTACTTCATAGTGTGACAAATCAATTAATACACCAAACATTAAGTGTTAACTAGAATTTCATATAAGTGTGTTCTTATCTTTTGATGTAGAAGGTAAAGTAATGAAAAAATCGGCAGCCTAGAAACAATATAATTAATAATTTATTTGGGTTATAAATACCTATTTTATTAGATGATAGATTTATAGATCCACTGATATTCACTAAGAAACTATAAAAAACACGACTTTTTAATGTACTTCCGTCTAGACTATATAATATTACCCCATTTTAACTTGTCTCCGAAAATATTGTATCAATTATTGATAGTAACCCATCTTTAAATGACGTAAAGTCATTGTGATACTATTCTTGAATTTTTACCATGGTATTGAAATGATATTTTTGTAAAATTTAAGACGAATGGTAATGATTTAAACATGAGGGCTGTTTACCTACCGTTTTCTGGCTTTGTGAAGAAAATCATCGATTATTTGTTGAACACGTGACCGTTGAACAAATTCACTGGATAGAGAAAGATAAAAATACTTTTTAGCAATAATAGCTAAACTTAAACGATGCTAAGTAAAGCTGACGGAAATCACTGGCTAGTATATCATATAGGTAGATCGAAAAACACTTTGACTTTAGTAATTTTTATCCTATTGAGATAACTACTTGTAAGCCATGAGTAGTAAGTTTTCAATAAACCATCTTAAATGTCGCAAGAATAACGCATAAAATAGTAAACAAATTTTTAAGTTAATAAATAGATCAAACCACCAGTTTAACTTTAATCAGTAACAAAAAACATCATTTATCGGACACTAACCTTGGTAATCTATGGTGACAAGATTGAGAATTCGAAAACGTTGGTTGAGCGTGGTTGTATGTGATCGGTTTGTCTTGATTATTTCCAGTCCTCTTTATTTAAAAAGATTTATGAAACGTATTTTTACACACTGAAATTCATAGTACGGTGCTAACTCTTCCAGTAAAATTTGATATAAACAGGAGGAAGATTGTTATCCATTGACACACTCACATAGTATGCATACTGGATTTAAATTAGTGATTGAGACATGAGAATACAAAAATAAAATCCGGAGCTTAATCAGGAATATATCCTATAGCTTTGCGCTTGTAAAATAATTCAGTTTATATCCACTTCCACTTTTTTGTCAAAATGAAATGAGGCTAATAAAAAAGGTTTCAAAGCATTTTCGGGCTTAAACAATTGCTAATCAAATGGTTTACTATAAAACTCTCTAGTTCCAAGAAGCAGCAGCTTCCAAACAAACGAATCACAAAGGCTCCACTAGATTATTTCAAGCTGGAAAACTGATTTATTCGATATTGTTAGATGCTATTTAGTCATTTTACTTAAAAATTGGCATATGAGGCACATATGGATAGTTTTACATCTCAAAGGTTGTTACCAAGCGAATGCAATATAGAATCCATAAAATGGGAGTACTAGATGAAGATTCTTCAATTCAATAGGAATTTATAGTTTACATAATATTTTTTGATAAGTATCAATTCTTATAATGACTTCATTTTAAATGAACCCTAAATATAATTACACTATAAAGTATACTGATGTATTGTGATGAATAACCAATACATTTAATGCACAGTTAAATATTTTATGTCGTGTGTAAACCTATCATAATGATACAATACAATCTGATACTGCGTCATTAAAATTTGAGTTCTTGATTGCGTCTTTTTGAAGTTTCAGACTTATTGGAATTAATCCTACATAGTTATATTATTTTAAATTCATACGCGTCTATTAATTGAATGAGAAAAGCCCACGTTTCAGCAGACATACGTCATGACTAAAAGTGTAAGATTTACTCCAGAAGTGCACAAAAGCGTTACCTGGGTTATTCTTCGCCTTTGTTGAATACTTTCAATTATTCGATCAACTGCCTGAGTACATCGTTTTGAGTTATTGTACTCACTGAAAATCTCAGAAACATCATTTACTTTGCTAGGGTTGGACGAAGTAACAATATCATTTGTTTTTCCATGTATATTTACTCTCATTGCCCAACCTTCTGGGAAAAACCTGCAACAAATAGTATATATTTCATGTCCACTTTTAATTTAATGTAAAATATAAAGAAAATAATCAGCCTAGCGAATCCTATTCCTTGATAAGTGATATTTATATGCGAATCCCTGAGTCAATACAGCCATTCGATACCTTGAGTGACAAAGCAAAGTAGAACAGAGAAATGAAGACTTTTCCACTTATTTCTGTGTTTTTCCTCCACATTACTAAGTAAAATTTAAATGACTTCTAAAATACTATTCAATTAACAGGTTTGTTGACAGCACTTTCAAGACCAAGATAAATCCTCATTTTTTGAGAGTAAACATTAGGAGAGACTTCGATCTCACCTTATCTTGCACAAACTATTCCACCTTGGTAGCGAAAAGAGAATGCTTTTGAAAAATTTTTTGATGATGTTATCATTATGATGGACACCGAATCTATCAATTGAAAAACTCAATAATATGGATTAACTTGCTTCTAGTCCATACTAAACAATGCTATTAGTTTGTTTGTGTCAAATCTGACTTCTTAAAATCATGAAAGTTGCTTCAAATGTTAAAAGTGTGAAGTATGTAATCCTTATCAAGAAACTTTAACATGAAAAGCACAGATAATATTGACTGTCAAAGTATTGAATTGTCAAGAAGGTGGACTGCATTTCACAACCACTTATTATTCAGTCTAAAAATAACTACCGGGACAAGTGAAATGCATACTTAAGGCCGATACCTTTGCTGTCCGGATGTATGCATAACCCTCAGAAACACAAAACAGTTTTGAAAAGCCACAACTTAGTGAATATGAACAAACTATGTCCCATATCCAATTGCTCACATTAGTTAACCAAAGAAGTAGTATATATTAACAGTTATTTTGTAGCGGAAAGTTAAAAAGTTAACGAGGTGCATGTAATTTAGTAAAGCGTTCCAGTATTATAGTTATGTCTTCTATTTTGTAATCAAAAACACACGCGCGCTATTTAAAAAAGGACAGTGGTATTTTTCCTCGCTGAGTAAATTTGTTTGTTTTGATCGTTTATTACGTATCAAGACTACTGTTTTCACTTTAATTGAATTTATTTCAGTTAAAGTATTCGACTAAAGTATCGTTTTTACTGTTTTGTCGTTGGTACTCTTGAGTACCTCTTTTTCAACTGTATCTGTTAGTACTTTTGGTCCTAGCAATCTACAGCTCTTCACTTTTGGTCATTGATAATTTTTTTGTTTCTGAGTATCATCACAGTTTAAAAAAGAACCCCTCCTAAATGACCGGACAGTGTAAAAAAAGCAGTTGTCAACGTCCGGGTTGTCGTTATCCTGTTGAAAGCGGCATGCAGTGCGACGAGTGCAAAGGCTGGTACCACGAAGTTTGCACGAACTTAACGCCTGCTGCTTTCAAACGGTTCAGTAAGAAGGGTTGTGTGTGGCTTTGTCAACAGTGCTGCTCGGATGCAAACAGCTTGTTAACCGAGGCCATCTCACTGGTTGATGCTGCAAAGAAGTGTTTTAGCAAGCATAGTCGGAACGCGTCAAACAGCACTCGATCTGTCGACACGCAAATCAACGTGAAGGAAACTAAGGTTAGTCCGGTGATAGATGACTCACGCCCGTCAAAGAAGGAAAAGCAGTCTCCAAAGAGGCCTGCCTTAAACAAAAGCTCAAGAAAAGTAGGGTCTTCTGTTCCCCGTCTTCCAGATGGGATCCAACAGGAAACACCTAGAAGCCGCAATCGCAAGGCTCGATCGGTTTCAAACGGTAAACATAACACGACCTCTCAGGTCGTCGACAACCCCCCAAAACCCAACACTAGGTTTGACGCAACTGTTATTGCTTCTACCAGCACCGTTGACGAATGGGTAAAGGTTGTAAGGAAGAAAAGTAGGGATATAAAAGAGAAACCTGCCCCCGTAAGAGTGGTTGAAAAATCGAAAGCTGATCATAGCGACAGATCAGCTATTTTTCATAGAATCAAGGAGAGCGATAGCTCTGAACCTAAAGCTCGTTTTGAGCATGACATTGTACTGATTAGGCAGCTGCTTAATCAACTCATGCCTCAAAATATGACTGGGGTCACCTTGCTAAAGGTGTACAGACTAGGGAGTCTAACGGACTCGAAACCAAATCATTCCAGACTGCTTAAAGTAGTATTCGGCTCTTCGAACGAACGTGACCTAATTTTACAAAATGGACACAAATTAAAGGGTTCAGGAGTCTTTATCCGAAAGGACCTACCGTTGGCAGACCGTGTTAAAAGACGGGAAGCCGAGAAAGAACTACAACATAGGTTAGACGCTGGCGAAAAGGACCTGAAAATTGTAAATTTTCGGGTTGTAAGACTTCGACAGAGAATGATGCCGAAGCCACTCTGGGTGAAGCACGAAGGCACTTAAACAGGCTTCGGATCTGTTACACCAATGCACGAAGCTTACTTAATAAGCGATCGGAACTAGGTGTACAGATTGACTCTATAAAGCCAGATATAATCGCAGTAACAGAAACCTGGCTGACACAGGCTATAGATAGTATAGAACTTGATTTCGAGGGCTTTACGTTAGTAAGGGCCGACAGAACACAAAAGCGCAAAGGAGGGGGAGTAGCTCTATTCATTAGGAATGCTATCCCATTTACCATTATCGATAGTGTATCCCATGAGAGTGGGACGTGTGAATTAGTTAGTCTTCGCTTAAAATGCAAGGGACAAGAGCTGCTGATTGGTTTGGTCTATCGCAGTCCAAGCTGTGAGGCAAATGAGATCCTGTTAAGCAGTCTCAATACTTGGTCCCAAAGTGGTCGATGTCTAATCCTAGGGGACTTTAATGCACCTATGGTAGACTGGGAAAATCTGCGAACTAAATCGTCGGAGAATTCTTTCGAGCAGGAACTAGTTGATGCGGTTATCACATGTGCTCTAGTGCAACATGTGAAAGAAGCGACAAGGTACGATCCGGACACTGAATCATCCTTATTAGATCTTATACTGACTCACTATGAGGATGATGTTGCGAACCTCCATCATATGCCACCCTTAGGTAAAAGTGACCACGCAGTTTTAACTTTCGACTTCCATATAACTGCCAGTCATGAGGACGCGTCAGTCCAGTCCAGACCCAACGTCTGGAAAGCAAACATACCAGACATCATGCACTCAGCATCGTTAATAGATTGGACAATAGACCCAGAGTCCTCCATTGAAACGGCCTGGGACGCATTTCGAAATTCATACTTAAAAGTTACCACACCTCACATCCCTTGGACTATACCAAAGGGGCCGAAAAACTCACCACCATGGTTCAGTAGGGAGGTCCGTATCCTTCTCCGTAAGAAAAGGAAAATGTGGGATAGATTTAGGTTACTGGGGACTGATGAGTCAAAATCTCAGTATCGAAAGGCTCGGAACACTTGTGCCTCGACCCTCCGTAAGTCTAGAAAATTGTACGAAGAAAAACTTGTTAAGGAATCCATAGAATGTCCTAAACGCTTGTATTCCTATATAAACCAAAGGACAAGGAGAAAAGGAAATATTCCTGCTCTATGGGGAGACAGTACTGCTTCATCATTAGTGGAGGACGACTTTGGTAAGGCTCAAGCGTTCTCGAACTACTTTAGCAACGTGTATACCATAGAAGCGCCCTTCTCGTCAGCGTATACAGATCCCCCCATACATACACTGGATAGCGTGACCATTAAAGAACTCGATGTCTTTGGTCTGCTAAATAAGCTTGACATAGGTAAATCCACGGGGCCCGATGAATTACATCCTAGGCTACTGAAGGAATTATCTAACTTCGTTGCAAACCCTTTAAGTACATGCTTTAACCTATCCGTTACGCAGGGTCGCTTACCGAAAGATTGGAAAAACGCCATAGTAAGTCCTGTCTTCAAAACAGGCACGAAACACAAACCTGAGAACTACCGCCCCGTTAGCCTAACTAGTGTGGTTGTTAAAATCTTAGAAAAGATTATTCGGAAGGAGCTGTTTAAGTATCTCGATAAAAACCGGATCCTCTCGGAGAAGCAGCACGGCTTCAGAATAGGTTATTCTTGTCTCACTAACTTATTAGTGGCTCGTGAAAGCTGGTGCGCTCTTAAGGACCAAAAGCTACCTGTAGACGTCGCCTTCATTGATTTCAGTAAAGCTTTTGATAAAGTTCCGCACAACCGGCTGTTATATAAGTTAAGACATATCGGGATTGGAGGTAATTTATTGATGTGGATAAAAGACTTCTTAGTTGGGCGTCAACAAAGAGTAAGGGTGAACTCAAAGTTATCTAGCTGGGAAACTGTGCTTAGTGGAGTGCCCCAGGGTACAGTTTTGGGGCCAGTGCTATTCCTCTTGTATGTAAATGACCTTCCTTGTCTCCTATCATCATCGGTCTTGCTATATGCTGACGATGTCAAGATATGGAGAACGATACGATGTAAGAGTGATAGCTTAGAACTTCAAAATGACCTGAAGAAGTTATCTGAATGGTCTCAAACATGGCAGTTGCCGATAAATACTTCCAAGTGTGTTGTGATGCATATCGGTCATCAAGGCACAGATACATACACGATGAATAACACTGAGCTACCTGTCGTCCAGACATATAATGACTTAGGAGTTATCGTTAGTCAAGACTTAAAGACTACTGCACACTGCCGTGCAATAGCCGCCAAAAGTTTTAGAACGTTATGGTCAATACGTAGGGCTTTTAGTCATGTCGACGCTAAGACGTTTTTGACTTTGTATACAGTGTTCGTTCGTCCTAAACTTGAGTACTGCATACAAGCGGCTAGCCCCTGTTTAAAAAAGACAGTGAGCTTCTGGAAAAGGTTCAGAGAACGGCGACTAAGCTGGTTCCCGGAATAGCGAAGCTTCCGTATGAATCTCGACTGGCCAAGCTGAACCTTTTCCCGTTGTCATATCGCAGAACTAGAGGCGACTTGATTACAGTCTACAAATTGCTTAGTGATAAATTTGCACCTAACATGCCCTCATTTTTCTTGTCTTCCAAAACAGAGAATTTACGAGGACACTCCAAAAAAGTTCATAAGCCGAGAACAAATTACTTGTCAGCTGACTATCGACTTTCCCATCGAATCATCAACGAGTGGAATTCACTACCTCAGCACGTGGTTGAGGCTCCATCCGTCGACTCTTTCAAAAGAAAGTTGGATCAACTGAGAGACCACCATTGCCAGGACTAACATAGGCCATCGAGCCTCCTGTCCTTCCCAAACTGAAACTGAAACTAATGAAAATATTCATTCGTCTGATCTTAAAACGTCTTAATTATGAAGCCTGTATACGGTGACTGGTCTTCCTTTGACTGGCTAAACATCTCAACGTCGCTGGCATGTTTCATTGACTTTCCGATACAACAAACAATATATAGAAGCATCTCTAAATCTCGTATTTCTTTGTACCAGTAAACGGTTTCTCCTCCGGAATATAACAAATTCCAGGCATTTATCTATGTTTTTGTCACCAAAATCTCGCACATTATTTAATCTTCAACCGACGTTTTGATATTGCATCATCCAATAATCGTCATCCAATACTGAAACACCCACCCCGGGCTTCATTCCGTCTTTTGGATACTGGCTGTCTCGGCAGTATAATTAACTTGATCATATAACCCTTTCATGTTTATTGAATAAGTTCGCAGTTCGTTTAGACTCGCGGTGTATTATAAAAATCAGTAGTAGTTGTTTGCTAGTAGTTTACACATCCACTTCAGAGAATACACTTCACTTACGTGGAAATCAATTAA